TCTTAACCTTTGCGGACATTGTTGCGGCATTAAGTTAATGACATAAAATGATTTTTTGAGGAAGCAACTAAATCTCAAGCCTTCTCTACTCCCTCTCTACTAGAATGCAGCCGGGCAGGATATTGGAAATGACATAGGCTTTGCTGACTCTTTTTTTTTTCCACAGAGATATTTCTACTGTCACCAGTTTGCTTGGTGATAAATTTTAAAGACCTAAATATATCTGTACTCTCCTACTACATCTCCATCCTCCCTGGTGCCTTAAGGTGGGAATGAATACCGTCTTCAGAGGTAACTTTCGTTCTATAAAGTCAGGCAGTTGTTTCGATTTTTATAAGATTCACATTATTTGACCCAAATCTAGAGGACTCCTTTCAGCCAAAATAGAACACCTACCCATCTGAAACAGAACACATGGTGACTCATCCGATCGCTTCGCAACTTACTGCGTATTAGCTGGTGCCTGTGAGGATGTAATTCTTGCAAATCCACATCTTGCCTGCCCACAAGGGTGTGATATGCAGTCAGAGCCGCTAGGAGATCTGTTATGAGCTTCTGCAAAAGCCCACAAACTGAGTGGTCAGAAACAGTGGTTCAGACATATTTTCTTCTATGAGAACAGGAATTCGGGAATTTTGTTATATTTCAGCCTTCATTTAATGCAAATTACGATACAGCAAGTTATGAAGCATTTTACTTTTTTGAGTGTTATCTGAAAAACATTCATGGGAATAATTAAATGTGGCAGAATCTTCAATGCAAGTGAATTCAGAGAATCCTACATTTAGGTCTATCTTCCTTCATGTACACATAATTTAGGACTGATTAGACAGGCTTCAGACGGGATACTACCATTCAATTTATTCTGATGCCAAATTTGAAGAAAACACATGAAGGACAAATCAGTTCCCTATTGCCGTTCAGTTTTCTCGAGGTGACAGCTTTAGTACTATTTCAAGTTCTCTGCAAGTAACTGTTTACTGCCTCCCACACTGTCCTGCTTCATCCCACTCTTCCCCATGACCACCAGCACCACTGTTCAACATACTTTGAGCTCATGCTGTAGGTATGCCAGAGCAGAACAGGTTTGTCAGGATGAGTGTGTCTAAAAGCTGATTTTATTTACATTGCTTCTCAGAACTGAAAAATTCTTCAGCATGATTATTTACACTCTTGGAAAGGAAGGATATTTTCTCCTAAGACTGACGTCAAGATGGAGGGTTTTGTGTGGAAGTCTGTGAGACTAGTTCCTTTGCAAAAAAGTACCTTTCAGTCAACTTGAAACTCTCCGTGCATTTGAATCACTTTCAGTTACTTGCTTTAGCTGATGAAAATACTTTATAGTCTTGGTGTTAGTAACAATGCCAAGTATGGGTATTTCCCTTTCCCCAGACTCATCCCCAACAAGGTCTAGAGCTCAGTAATTAGAGCAGCAGAGCTCCAGCTTCGTATCTCCTCTTTGCCTGATCCAGCACACGCCAGTCACTGGGCACTGGAGCATTTTAGTGAGCTATTCTTGTTTTCCACAAAAGCTAATATTTTTGTTTAATATCATTTTACATTAACTAGAACAAAGACCAGAGCATAGTGACCCCACTCTCCAGTCAGTGTCTGCCACAGTCTGTCCTCTCTCTCCAGTCCACCACCATCTCCTTGTCTCCTGTTGTTCAGAGCTCTTCAGGTTTTCATTGGAAATACCCTAAAAAAATTTTTTTTTCAGCTAACCAAAAAGCTCAGAGAAAAATACGTTGTGATTAACACAAACCCTCTTTATTTCAATTTCACCCCCCACCTAGGAAAAACATCAGTGACTTGTGCTGCTCAGAGAGGGCCTTACATTTCATATATACAAGAGAGAATTTTCTTAGCAAAGATGAGTAGTCTCTGGCAGTAGAGTCAGAGCAGACTGCTAACTCTTTCTGTGGTTTTCCAGCACCCAAAGAACACAAATGTGGTTGCTGTCACAGCTGTATTGGGGAACTAGAGTGACTGTCTTCTCTTCTACCATCTCCTTAGAGCTTTCCTGTGGGATGGGCAGCTTGTACCTGCATTTTCTGTTCCTCAAAACTGAGTTTGGAGCTGCAGGGAACACCAGCATCTACCACTACTGGATTTCTTTTCTGTGCTAGCAGCTGGACCTTCTCCAGCAGTAAGGAGCCTAGATATCACTCAGCTTCACTAGGGGATGAGTGATGTGATGATATGGCTTGCTTTATTTACCAGAAGTGATAATCAGAGTAGAAGGAAACATCTCCTGGAGAAAGGCTATTCCATAATAGCCTGTTCCAGAATTTCATTCATCTCTTGCTGAGGCACGCTGTAACTCTCTGTTATACCGCACGCAATGCTGAATTCTGAACACTGACCTGATCCTCGGCTAGGATGTGAAAATGGACATAACATACTCGGAGATGAAAATTAAATGATATACTTGCATTGCCATGGTGAATATGATCATTTAAACTCAGAAAACTGCACATTATGACATTTTTCTCTCTGCCTATCTATACCAGTGAAATCTGTAATTAGATATATAACAGATTTAAAATACAGGCTTAAAAAATGCTGGCTAAAACTCAGGATGTCCAGATGTTTGTTTTGGAAGGGGGAATGTGAATCCTTCTGTGACACAGCTGTGCTGCTCTGCTGTTGCTCCCCTGGCCCATGCTTCTGAAAGCCTTTGGTGGAAAAATCACTGAGTTACTAAGGAGCAGTAGTATAGCTTCTGTTCAACAGAGTCCTGCTTCTGTCTCTAGCCCAGCGAGCCTGCAAGTGTGATAGCATGACTGACTTATAAAAATGGAGAATAACTGATTCATGAGAATGGAAAATTGAAGAAAGCCAGTAAAGAAAAGGTTGTTCCACTACCCCGGCACAGTTTCCTATCACTGCTCAAAAGAGGCGTGCTCTTAGGCAAACACTTTGTAACCTTTAAACAAATATTTGGCTTGAAGGCTGGGAAAACACTGTTTTACAGTGAAGATAAGCCTACTCCCCATCACACATACGACTGTACCTACCAGGTGTTGCCATAAATTAGATCATATTATGACACCCATTGTACCTCTAGCAAATTAAGTACACTTGATCAAAATGGAGCCCAGTATGTCGTGCATATTGTTTTAAATGGCTTTTCTATTATAGATGGAGACATGCAGTCATTTGGAATTTGAGGGGGCAAGTGATTAAGTAATTGGATGGAGTTAGCCAAGCAAACTAAATCGGTCTATGAGGTCCCTTGATCTTTTTTCTATAACAATGCTTAAATGCATGTGGTCTGAGTGTGATGCAATAAAACATTTACTTGGAATACTTCCTTCAATATCTTGTCCGCATTACCTTATTTCAGATGGTATCCTTTATTAATTGTCATTGCTAGTGATTTAGACCACCTTGTTCCTATACATAACTGTTTTAGAGCAAATAACTGCATCTTAAAGAGACATTGGTGCTGAGAAAAGGTGCTGAAATGATGTTCTAGTGACCTGACATTTCTCCTTTTACCTGCCCTTCTGTCAATAAATTTCTGGAGATACAGTATACAGTTTCTTCAGTTACTCATTTAAACTCCTCCCCTTAACTTAACTGCACCGCATCTCTGTTTGGTGCTACAGTTTACACATGTGAAGAATGCAGCATGGAAATGTTTACCTTGCAACAGCTCAGGAAATCAGCCATGGGGGAAAAGCATATCCTTCTACTGAAACAGCTGAATGTCCCCAGTGCCCCTTCCCTGGCTGCATGATTGAATGTGTATTCAAAAGTTAGATATCTCCAAACTCGGTGGATGTGCCTTTGGCACTGTAAGCTGACACACTTGGGCACTCCTGCCACACGACTGAGAGTCTGCTTGCATGGCCTGTCACATATGTACCTGTCACACCACCCAAACGCATCATTTGACCGAGCATGCAAGCAGCTGCTTTTTGCATACATGAGCACATTTATAGTCTGATCATGCAACAAGGGAGGGAGGTTTAAGCCCCTGAACCAGCTATAGAGGGAAGTGGAGAATTAGCCAGAGACTGGATGAACTGTTGTGCCAAGCCAGATTCAGCCCACTCATTCAGCTCATTCAGCATTTGTATGCAAAGGGAACGTTGCTACGTTATTTCTAGCATGAAAATATTGTTTTGTACCTTACATTCCTGCATTCTCCTCCCATTTAGTCCTTACAGCTTGGAGATGTGCCTCACAAATTAAGCTAAACTGCTGGATTTGATTTATTCTGTCCAATCTCACTTGCTTAGACTCAGTAAGTTTCTAATTTACAATGTACTACTTTCTCTCTGTGGCCTTACAAGCTGCCATCAGCTGAGATGCGAAAGGGAAGTGGCAGACTGCTGCAGGGTGAGACTAGCATTTCCTCTGTCTGGTTTACCTGAAGCTGGGCTTACTCATCCCAATGGACACTTCAAAACACTACACTTTTCACTGTTTCTTTTTTTGTAGTAGGGAACTGTATGATAGCTGGTTGGAGTTTGAAGCAGATAAAGAAAGAGGCATTTGAGGTGAAACTCGGGAAAAGTCACTCTTTTGGACCATTCAAAGGGTTGCCTGGATGGTGCATTTGTATTCATGTCGGACAAAAAAAAAGAGAACTAGATGGGAACTTCTTATCATGACAAAATAAGCACTTTCAGGGGCACAGCACAGGATCATGAAACAATTTATGCTGGAAGGGGCATCTGCAGGTTGCCTCGTTCGAACCTCACCCCTCAATGGGCCCGATTTTGAAGTTACTTCCCAACGGTTTGGGGAAGGCCGTTACTGCCTGCTGCCAGGATTCACATCCCGAACTCATTTTATCACAGGAACTGAGAGGAATCTCCTGCTTCACCCCACTAGGCCTATGCCATGCTAAGAATTATCTTCTTCTGCTTTGACAAGCGCCTTTTCGAGTGTTAAAAACTGGCAGAAGGATTTTTGAAAGTCTTTAGCTGTTGACTTTCTTACCAGTGACGGTGGGGGGGGCAGGGGGGAAAGGAAGGGGCGCAGCGATGGGCCGGAAATCTCGAAGTACGTTTGTATAAAAAGGGGAAGAAACCTTACTGATTTGCCCAGCCACGCACCACCCCCGTCGCAGCCACTGAGAGTTTTTTCGGTCGCTTTCACCGATTTTTAGAGTGGGCTTGTCACACCCCCATGCATAAGAAGGTGAAAAGGAAAAAAAAAAACAAAACCCAAACATATTT